ATATATTTTATCTCTGATGACTTTAATGATAAATAACTTGGAGTATTTTACTTTTAATTATTCAATTTAGGAGAGACCAACAAGACATGAAAGAAATTTACATGTCCTACAATCACATCTCGCAATGAGGCAGAAAGGGGTCCATTGCATGAGTATAAAAGTATTTAACAGTCTGCCCGGATATTTATCTAACTTAGTACATGATAAAAATCAGTTTATAAAAGAAATAAGTGATGTCCTAATACATAATCCGTCAGTTACTGTTGATGAATTTTTGCTCTTCTGTCGGGATCAACAGCTAAGGAATAGAAGGGGAGTGCATGCTGACTGATGGATGTCCCACATTAGGCATTAATATAGACATTAAGTGTAAGTGTAAGTTAAGGAAGGAGAATTATTGTGTATTGCTAATTATCTTGTTGGTATAACTGTATGTGTAACATTGTATCTATTTATTTGAGGTATTCAGTTTAGATTTTAACTACGGTTGAATTGATGTTTCTGCAATTTTATCTGTGATTGTCTTGTGAGTGTTGTTTGACAAGTTTTATATTCAGTACCAGTTTCACACTTGAGAATACTCTGAAACGCTGATGTATGTATGTATGTATGCATATATGTATGTATGTATGTTACAAGAGGGTCATTAAGAACTGATGTGTTAGATGGCCAGCCCAATACAAGGGGAGAGTTTGTCTTTTTTCAAACAATAATTGTACAGTAGATGCTATTTGCTTTGCAAGATGAGCTTTTCCAAGCTTACTGAAATGTAATCCATGCTTCGTAAAATAACTTCGATTTGTATTCAGTTCTGTAAATGTAATATGATTAAAGGCATGAGATATCTTATGTAACTTACTATTATATTTCCTTATTTCGTTATATATATATATATATGTGTGAGTAATTTTGTAAATCATAATGTTGAGGAATACTTAGAAGAATGATATTCATATGATTATTTGATGTATCAAAATTAGTAATTAGTTTGATAGCTCTTTTAGATTTATACTTATGAAGATCATTAGAGCCACCGCCAGGTACTAGTATGTCCAATAGAAGTTAGTGTTACAACTTCATTGTTCATAGATTTAGTTAACTCACTGAGATCAGCACCTGGTTTCACCACACTGAGAACATCACACTTTTATCTCAAGTAGGTTCTCACATTTTCAGCTGCTCCTCTAAGAAAACTATCACCCCACATTATTAATTTATGAGCCTTTTTACAGCAGCTCAGATTCATCTTAGGTGGAAGTTTAGCTACTAAGTCACAAGGCATAGTGTTATTACTACTAGCACAACCATCTCTTATATTTTGCACATTAGATATCACTTTTCCATTTAGTATTACTGGAATAATCTGTACTAATTTCTGATTATTGAAGTTACTATAGACCCGTTGAGATCTTTCTGTTGAACAGATGACTGAAATGCTACAGTCACAACAACAAAAAGAATTTTATTTTAAGTAAATCAGTTCGTTTTGGATAGAAATTCTGGGCAGTGTTTGTTGTAAATGGTTATCGTTTCAAATTTGACTTGTGCATATGAAAGAAGGTAAGGTTTCTTATGGCTCCACAGTTTTTTATTATGCCAAATTGTGATGTTAATCTTGAAGACTTCAGTTTCCTCACTGTCAAAGATCATTTGCTTAGGGCACATACCTGTTTGTTCAGTGAGAGAAAATTAGATTGGGGATTGACTTCTCTTACCTCTGATATCAGCATGAAAGAATTCAAGGGTATTGTATTGTATTGGAGAGGGTGGGTTTCCCCATGCACTTAGACCAACTGTTGATCCATTGTGCATTCCCCTGTGATATTCAACCAGTCTCTATTCCCTACCGGTACTGGTGCACGCCATCAGTCCCGACTCAGCCAGCGAGTTCGGCCTCTACTGGCTCTGCGGTATCTCGATGCTTCCCCCATCTACCAGAGGCGTTAGAGACTACTGTTGGGCGGGAAATGTCCTGAATTTGGCTCAGTGGTCCCCTTGGGACATGAGGTTCTTTTACGTGCCATAAAGCTATGACTTGGGACCCACGGCTTAAAGTTCCTCCCAAAGGACTTGTTCCCTGAATTTTTCCGCCCTTAAAAAATCCACGACCTCCACCGGGTTTGAACCTGCATACCTTGAGTCACGAGGTGGGAACGTTACCCCTAGACTACGGAGGCCGCTAATTCAAGGGTAGCTATGAATATCAAAGAGACACAGATAGATAATCCTCTTTGTTACATGGAATAACTGTTGTATAGCAGACTGATCAGTACAAGTACAGAAACTGAGAAACACATTTTTACTCACCAGTGGTCTTAATTATCTTTTTCTGGAAAATTCTAGTTAAAATTAAAATTCTTTTCTGTTTATATTTTCACTGTTTAGGAGATACAGATTTGGTTATTACTGGCATACATATGTTTATTATTATTTTGTCACCATTTACTTCTTGTTGACCTTTTTATAGGATGGCTTTTTGTACAGAGGTAAATAGTTGAAAAAATATTTCATTCATCTGGAATTTCAGGGTCTCTAACATACTCCTGTGATTTATATTCTAGTTCATATCTCTATGAACTGCCTCAGTAGGTGAAGTGGATTCCTGTGGTTGTTGCAAGCCTCACTGACTATCTCGAGTATGAAATTCATACTCTATTTGCTATAATGAAGTAATTTTCAAGTTGGGATTTGTGGTGGACAAAGTGGCACTGGGGCAGGTTTTCACCAAGTACTTCGGTTTCCCCTACCAATCTTCATTCCACCAAATTCTCCATCCTCATAATCACCTGGGGCAGATACAGTGGACCAATTTATGGCCAACATGCTAAGTGGACTGAATTGGACTCCATCCCCCTATTTGAATTAAGGAAATTAAAAAAAACTTTCAAGTTTTGATAATTTTTATAACTGCCCTTCAAGCTGTTGCTTTTTTCTCTTTTCTGATACCCATGTTCAAAAGTTGTCTTCGTTGTAAAGCCCTCTGAAAGTATAAGAGAAACAAACATTAGGCAAAGTCTTTGAACTCAATTCTACATCTTTACAAGTAATTAAATGATAAGAAACGTATAAATAATTTCGTAGGTGAGAGAGGATGAAACACCAGAGTCGGGCTTCATAGCACACATACAAGACATACAAATTAAATGGCTATTTCTTCTTTAGAGCACACAGTTGTCCACAGGTTCACACACAACAGCTGATATTTTGTAGCTGTTGGTTGCAGTTAAGAATAGGCACAATTCAAATTATATCCATTGGTACAGTAGCATTAGAATTTGAAGAAAAAAAAACAGCACTTGATTGTTGTATAATAACTGTATAGTTGTCAGCGCTCTGAGGAAGGCTGAAGGGGAACTAAATGTAACACATGGTGGCAGGCCAGTAGCTAGGAGCATCGTTGGAAATGGGACAGTGATACTATAAGAGTTGTCTTTAAAATAGTTTTCAGATCATATAAATAGGCATCTGGCCCCCTCCCCAGAAAGTTTAGACTGGCTATGCCTGTGTGATGGTATATGAAGAGGTAGAGGTGGGAAGGGATGTAGGAGAATCATCTCGATTCATAGTATAATTTATGATGGTACGCTTGCCCCCACTGTCTCCCCTCGAGGTCTGAGGTGATGTTGGACATCTGATGGTTCATGTGAGTAGTCCAGCAGCCTTGGAAAGGAAGTTGATTGGACTTAGATGTGGATCAGGATGGGGAGATCAGGGTTCAGAATTCTGTGCTGCATTTTGTATGAAATCATTTAAGCCAAAGCAATTTCAATTATAATAATTCTTGGTTATATCTCATATATTAAGAGGCCCCTCATAAGATTTTAAGACATGGCTTATATAGCTTGTATCTAAATTTAGCATGATTCGGAATTACTCTTAATATAATTTCAACAAAATACAATGAAACATCCATTTAATTATTCTTTAGGAAGCAGTGGATTTGAAAAGAAAACCGAGGGTAATCATATGTGGAGGAAATGTAACACTGACATTATTGACATAGAATCACTGAAATTAAATATTAAATAATGAAAAATGTTACATCAAGGAATATGCTAAATGGAGATTCCATTTCATTCATTCATCAGTAATCTGTCAAGATGACAGATCCATGGTCTCTTCCAAAACGGTTCCTCCACTTAATGCGATCTAGAGCTTTCTCCTTCAAATGAGAATATCCTCTTCTGTCCCCAGGATCATCCAGCATCTTCTTACGTCTTCTTCCTCGTCTTCTGGTCACTTCTATCTGCCCCTCTATCTTTCCTTCAATAACTTCTTTTAGAAGGCAGTTACTGCATAAGATATGACCAATCCAATTAGCTTTCCATTTTCTTATTTCATGTAGGATATCCCTCTGCTCACTGACTCTAAATAATACTTCTTCATTTCTCACATAATCGGTCCAACTGATCTTCTCCATCCTTCTCCAACACCACATTTTGAAGCTTTCCAGGTGTTTCTGATCTACTGCCTTAAGTGTCCAAGTTTCAGCCCCATACAAAGCCATGCTCCAAATGTAGCATTTCACTAGTTTCTTTCTCAAATTTAAGTTCAATTTGCTGGTAAAAAGATTCTTCTTCTTGCTAAATGCAGTTTTTGCCATGGAAATCCTACATTTAATTTCACAAGTACACCTTCCATTATCTGTTAACAAACTAGAATCCATTTAATTGAAATTTTTAAACATTGAAGTAAGTTAAGTCTTAAGGAGTTAATGCAGATATGTTTGTCCTTTCTGCACTCTTTAAGGACTATAGTTGAGCTTCCAAATAATTCTCACAGGAGGGTCTGTTCCCCCACTCAACCACCCCAGCCTACTTGATGTTGCTCCTCACCAAATGTTATAGAACACGTAAGCAATAGGAATGTAAGAGTAGGTGTAGAGTAAAGGAAGATCAGGAATGGAGGTAGATGGAGTGGGGAATGTTCCATGAAAATTCTTTTCCCAGCTGCACTGAAGTGATGTATGTTGAAGTTGCACCATATTTTATATGTTCCAGAGGTTTCTTATGGAACATTACCAGATATGGAAGTGGCCGAGGATTCCAACAGTATATGCAATGAAGAATGTGTATATCCACTGACAGAGGAGGAGCTTGACTCTGATCCGGGAAATATTTCAAATGATTCTTTTGGCTATCAGAAATCTCAGAATTCTTATTCTGCAGTTACTGAGAATTCTACGTCTCCAAGCTGTAGTTCAAGTTTGTCACAAATTGTAAGTATTGTTCCTCCAAATGGAACTTTGCTCTTTGCAGGTTACATCATAGTACTCTCTAGTTGAAGAAAGCATCTTCTGGGATTTGGCACCATGTGTATGTGGTGTTAACCGACGTTTCGGAGGAACGTATCGCCTCCATCTTCAGGGTAGAAGGAAAAATATTAGAAATGTGCTGTGTCTATTTCTAACACCAGTCTGCTTTTACCGGTTCTCACGGTGTCTTCGCTTGCGGATTTCTTATATTTCTCCTTCTACCCTGAAGATGGAGGCGATACGTTCCTCCGAAACGTCGGTTAACACCACATATACACAGTGCCAAATCCCAGAAGACTGCTTTCTTCATAGTCACCACCATGAAAACCTCAAATCGTACATACTCTCTAGTTATTTGGCAAAGTTTAACTTTTGGTTCTACAAGTTCCAGAGACTTTGTTTACCAGCAATATGAAATGTTATGAGTAATATTTGAACTTCATGTTGTGTTGCTGTCAGTCAATATACATATGTACCATCAAACACCATTTTTGTACAATTACTATAAATTACAAAGTGTCTTAACATGTTTTGTTACATATTTTGACCATAGGGATCAAATAACATCATAAATCATTAACAACAGTTTCACTAGGATACTTACAAACTAATGGAAACACTGAGAAATTGAGGAATACAATTTGTGTTGGCTACACTGAAAGAACTTCAGTTGGCAATACTGTTGTTCTTCCATTTATTTGCACTCGGTAGTGCTTGTGTAAGCGTATTAGTGATTGTGTTGAATGACAGTCCATATGAAAGACTCAGAAAATGGGAGACTTGCCCGATTTTGAAAGAGGACAGTTTGTTGGTGTGCATTTAGCTAGAGCATCTGTGACACACCTGCTACATAGTTAGGTGTATTAAGAGTGACAGTTTCTAAGGTTATGTCAGCATACACTAATCATGTGAAGACAACATCAGCAAAGAGGAGCAGTGGGCGAAAATCAGCATTGACAGAAAGAGATCTTCATATGCTGAGAAGGATTGTTTTGAAAAATCACAAAACTACTGCAGCACAGATGACAGCAAAACTGAATATTCATATTGAAAACTCTGTTTCCATGAAAATTGTCTGACATGAGCTTCACGAATCCAACACCCATGGTAGGGCTGCAGTTGCTAAACCTCTGATTACTGAAAGTAATGCACAAATGCGTAAACAATAGTGTCATGACCATAAAATATGGACGTCAGATAACTGAAAATGTGCACATAATATGGTCAGATGAGTCACTCTTCAATCTTTTCCTTACATCAGGAAGAGTTCATTTTTACATTTGGAAAACACCCAAGGAAGCCTACAATTTGGAATGCTTGGTTAACAATGAAACACGGGGTGATGTTCTGTGATGATTTGGGCAGCAATATCATGATATTCTGTTAGTCTCATTATAACCATTCATGGCCGAATTACTGCAAGGGAGTACATGGGAAGGTTGGGTTACCATGTGCATCCTGTGATCCAGACATTATTTCTGAAGTTTGCCAAGATCATAGAGTGTCTTCATTCACATAGCTGAAACTGTTCAGTCATGGTTTGAAGAACATGAAGGTGGACTTCATCATCTTCCCTGACCAGCACAATCACCAGATTTGAACACCACTGAACTGCTGAGAACAGTTTTGGAGACTACCCTGAGGAACATCTCTAAAGCAACTTGAAGATGTTCTTCAAGAAAATTGGTATAAAATTCTCCTAGAGACTGTTTGAAACTTGTATGAGTCCATTCCAAGAAGGATCATGGTAGTGTTCAAGACAAAAGATGGTCCAACACCATGTTACTAAAGAAATATGTGCAGTATCTGTAGTGTTTCCATTATTTTGTCCAATCCCTGTATATTGTAACCTGATCACCTTTAAGGTTGAAACATATAGCTAAATAATGTCCCATGAGTGAAAGAGAGGAGAAGCATTGCATTTGCAGCTCTTTCAAGCAATACTACAGCCTCTCTCCCTTCTGAAATGTTCTGGAGCCTGAAGAGACTGAGGCTGGCCATGATTCTATATGAAGAATCAGGAGTATAATAAACAGGGACAGAAGTGTGTAAAATTAGCAAGTCCAGTCCAGTCTGTGCTTACAAGCAGTGTGCATCACCCATGTCTGATAAAACAGTATGACAAAAAGCAAGCACCAATCCATCAGACACAAGTTACTGAATACAAGAAGACAGTTAAATGTTGTTCAGTGACATACTTACTTACTTACTCATGGAGCTGAGCCCTTCTTGAGGAGCCGCCAATTCTGCAGCTACTCAAGAATTTCCCAGCATTTTATGGAACCCAAAGGTTCATCACCGTGTTCACAAGGGCCCTGCACTGGTCCCTATCCTGAGCCAGATTTATCCAATCCATACCATCCCATTCTGTCTCTCTAAGATCCATTCTAATATTGTCCACCCACCAACACTATAGTCTTCCCTGTGGTCTCTTTCCTTCTGGCTTTCTCACCAATATCCTATACACATTCCTCGTCTCCCCCATTCATGCTACATGACCTGCCCACCTCATCCTCCTTGATTTGATCATTCTAATTATACTTGGAGAAGAGTGCAAGTTATGAAGCTCCTCATTATGCAGTTTTCTCCAACGTCCTGTAATTTCATCTCTCTTTGGTCCAAATATTCTCCTCAACACCCTGTTCTCAAACACCCTCAGTCTATGTTCCTCCCTTAATATCAGCGACCAAGTTTCACACCCATACAGAACAGACAACAGATGAGAAGACAAAAGGTTCTGGACTGAATCGTAGCAAGCATTACCCGAGTTCAATCTCCTCTTAATTTCCTCCTGAATCAGGTTTTGATCTGTTATCGTTGTTCCCAAATATCTGAACCGTGCCACATTTTCAAAACTCTGTTTCCTATCTTTATGTCATGATTTTGCCCTGCATTTTGGTGATGAGACAATAACATATACTTAGTTTTCTCTGTGTTTACTTCTAGACCAACCTCTTTACTTGCGTTAATTAAAGTTTGTGTGTTTTTCTTTATGGTATCTACATTATCACCCAGTAGATTCACATCATCCGCACAGCTGATGTGTCCCGTTTAATTTCAGTCCCACCTGATTGCCCTGGGCCTTGATAATGGTATATTCTGAAGCAAAGTTGAAAAGCAGTAGCGATAAAGCATCCATTCTGGATAGGAAATTTATCATACAAATATTTACCTACACCGACTTTCCTATACGTTTCGTTTAAACACATTTTAATCAACTTAACTACTTTCATGGATATCCCAAACTCTATCAGAATATTGTACAGTACTTTCCTCCTAACTGAATCGTAGGCTTTCTTTGAAGTCTGTGAATAGCTGATGTACTGTCTCATCATACTCCCATTTTTTCTCCAATATCTGACGAATGCAAAGATATGATCTGTAGTTGATCTGTTATGTTGAAACCCACACTGATAATCACCAGTAATTTCATCTATATATGGACTTAACCTTGAAAGAAGAATATTGGACAAAATTTTATATGAAGTTGATAGCAGTGATATCCCCCGATAATTACTACAGTCAGTTTTATCACCCTTCTTGTGAACTGGTACAATAATAGACTCCTTCCACTGATCAGGCAATTTTTCCTTATGCCAAATAGAAGTAATTACTAAACAAAAACCAACGGATGTGAAGACTATAAGGGACAAACTGTGAATAGATGCACTGAAACAAGGTAAATGTTACAGTATAATAACACATTGTATGTAATTTACAATACAGTATATTCATACAGTGTGAAATGGTGAATATGTTGTCACATGTTTCTAACTAGACATTGGGTTTGGATTGGTAATTAGTAAATTTATTGAACTCACATGACTCATGACTACAAGTAATTATAACATTACTGCTAATCTATGTACTCCACATTTCCCAAGTCTTCTCAGTATGCTGTGTCTTCGCCAGTCAATGCTAGGCAGCAGATCCCAACAAGGCCCTTGTCTGCTCACGTTGTTACCAGCTGGTGACTGTCGCACACCTCACCCATGATGGCAGCTCTGTCTGTTCTCTTCTGCATCCGTTTAAAGTTCAGAGTTACTTTACAACTGGCAATTTACTGCCAATCCATTCATCTTGATGCCAAGCCCCTTCAGGCTAACAACCAGAGACTTTTTCTTTGCATCTTGACCCTTGCAGTTAGGGTCCTTATGTAACATCCTCTGTGAAGAGAGGATGGGTTTGTCGCTTAGGAATACACTTAGCCTATGTCAAGTGTACATATCGCACATATAGCATATTATTGAAATTTCTCCCATTTACACTATATACAGTTTCTCTGTCAGTCCAGGCTTTACAAAGCAGATCATGCCTATCTTACTTATGTGACAATGGCAGCATAGCCACTTGAACAGTCTTAGCATGAGCACTGCCAAGTTTAAGCCTCATATATTTTCTGTGTCTGGTTTTGCCTTGTCCTGTGCTGAGAACATGTTCATTCTCATGTTTTTGTATGACTTCTGCTTGTTGCCTGTACAATTTTGTTACAAAACCATATACATATGGAAGGTTGAAAGTCATGTGAAAATCACAGGCCAGTATGCACCTTGGAAAATTTCTGGTGATGCAGAAAACTTTGTTTTACAAGCGCTGCAATTTTAGTAGGTAGGTGTCTGCCGCTAATTCCCAGGTGGGGCAAGCAAAAGTCTTTACTGATCTGATCAGTGCTTTGGGGTTAGTTTAACCTTTAAGTGCCGAAGTGCCCCGTTTGTGCCAGTCATGAGTAAGGTCGTCATGGCCAAAGTGCCCCGTTTGTGCCAGTCAGCATTTAAACTCGGCTAGTGGAAGCGCGCGCGCACACACCACTAGTGGAAGCACATGCACAGTCCTAACTCTTTATTTTTAAATGTAGTAATTACCAGAAAGACTTGAGTAAAACCCTAATAGCGGAATTAAATTGATATCTAAATGAACAACAGCAAATAAAAATATGTGTATGAGTTATGCCAAAACTTATCCACGATCCAGTAATTTTATTGCAGATTCTGCAGATAGGTATGTTAAAAAATATTGTAAAATTCCATGTACATACCTTTTTTGTTGTTACCTGCTTGATGTATATATAGGCTGAAATTATACTACAGTATTCGATTTCACTACAAACGCACAGAAAACAGATTGCACTCTGTATCTTAGCCATGATGCAGCTGTCTGCTCATTCAAATAGAAGGGGCAATAAACTTTTGCAGCTCTAACGGAAGGTCTTAGCACTGAAGAAGGGACCCCTCTAGCTTTCTCTTGAATAGCCATGCTTTCATTCCTCTGTCCTTCAGTCAAAAGATTCGAAAATCCGAAGAGTGTAAGCAGTGCTAGCAGAAGACCAAATGATTTTATTGCTTCCATCTGTTTTATGACACCAGGGACTGCTAAAATTCGTCAAGTGTTACAAACAGAAATTAATTTATAATGCAGAACAACTCTGTGAAGAACTGGGAAACCATTTTTGCAGTACGCATCAAAATTAAAACAAAAAAATTGAAAATAGAGTATAACACTTTGTATTAAAAATTTCAAATCTTCCGTTATAATATGCGACACTATGTTCTTTGCTGATATAAACAAAATTAATACCATCCATTTATCATAAAAATTGAGCAAGATAGAGCATTTTTAAACACAACGCTTAAAAGTGATTAAGCACCTAATAGGAACGGACATTTAAACGCAGAGTAGCAACAGGCATTTAAACACGCACCAGCAGTGGGCATTTAAATAAACTCTGGCCAGCTCACGCTTACCACTGTTTCAAAGTCCGGCGTTTAAAGGTTAATGTTGGCACTTAAACGCTCACTTTCAAATAGGGAGTAGATTCTAATAAATGTTCTAGAGGCCTAGGCTTCAATCATTTCTGTATGCAGTCTCCATGTAATCATATCGAAAATTACATGGGGAAGTCATAACATTGTAATTATCACCCAGAAGAAACAGAGACACAGGTGCAAGAAACTGTATGTGAGTTAGTCCTTCTCTACATGTGGCCCCTGCAAGGCCACACATTTTCCCCAACAATGCATTGGCTGCTGGTTACCTTGATCATAGAAGGTCTCATTTTGACTGTTTAGAAGTCCTCCACTGCAGAAATGACATCATCATCTTGGACTCGCTTACCATGAAGTGGCTTCTTTAGCCGTGGAAAGAGGAAGAAGTTGCTCAGTGCCAGGTCTGGTGCATGTGGTGGATGGGGGAGAATTTCATATCCCAAACTGGCAGCAAGTGTCATTTTAGCATGAGAAGCATGAGCTGGTGCATTGTCGTGAAGAGGTTGCACACCTTTTCTCAACATTCCATTCCATTTTTTCTTGATTTCCTCCCATAATTTCTCAGAAGGTTCCGGTAGTACTTGCCAGTGATGGTGATACCTTTTTGCGCAGTCGGTCATGATGACATCCTGCCAATCCCAGAACATGCTCAACATCACCTTTCCTGACGATGGCTGGGATTTGGCCTTCTTTGGTGGCTGTGAGTCTGTATGTTTCCACTGCTTACTCATTTCCTTTGTTTCAGGGTCATAATGATAGACCCAAAATTCATCCATCATGATCAGGCAGTCAAAAAATTCCACCTTTTCGTCTTCACCCAACTGCAAAAGTTTCTTTGCCACATTTATCCGCTGTCATTTTTGAACTGGTGTCAACAACTGTGGCACCCAACACGCAGCAACCTTTGTCATGTGTAACTCGTCATGGATGTTGTTGAAAACTGACTAATGGCTAATGCGGACATCATGAACAATAGCTTCAATACTGATGCGCCTATAGAATTGGATCCAAGCTTCCAGCTGTGCCACAATTCCTGGTTTCTCAGAGAGAGATGGTCTTCCACTTTGGGGTTCATCTTCAAGATTTATCTATCCACAATGAAAGCGCTTCTTCCACCTGACCACTGTGTCATATGATGGTACACCTTCCTGATACATGATGGTCATCTGGTCGTGGATCGTGGATCTCCCTGACAGACTTCCCTTGCAAATGCAGGAACCGTATCACAGAAGGAGCCTCCACTTTCTCAACCGATGTCACCATTTTTTTCTGCCCCTTCCAGTGGCTCCGTCTGTCCACTTGGCATGGGAAAATTTGACTGTTCGGAAAGCTCAGGAAATGGGCTATCTCCTATATAGAATGATATTTCGGAATTATGATTTTTTCATGGTGATAATTAAATCATTATTACTTCCCATCGTACACAAGATATTTTACATGATTGACATAGGAGATACGGTGACCATTTAATGTAAGATGAGCCTCAAGAGGCATAAGTCTACGAGAAAAGTAGGTGGCTTGAATATTATCTTTATTGATTTTTTTGTTCTAGCACTTGCACCATGTCTCAATAGCACTGTGATCTCGCTGTAGTTTTCTGAGAAAATAAACCTTTCTGCAGCCTGTTGCATATATACAGGTGTCATCAGCAAAGAGACCTACATAGACACCAGGTGTTTGGAGTGTATCATTTATATACGTATACTGTACAATGCTGGGGGACAGGACGGAACCTTGTGGTACTCCTGCTTGTGTGTCCCATGGCACAGGGAGTTCACCTTCAACTGATACTCTGAATTTTCTCTCAGAAAGAGAAGAGCCAATAAGCTTGATTAGACTGATCGTAAATTGTGATGTAGATAATTTATTCAGCAAACCAAGCTGCCATATTGTATCCAAGGCTTTTTTGATATCCAAGAATACAGCAGCCATAGACATATTATTTAAATTTAAGGATACATGATCCATAAGCTGCATATTGAAGTGTCATGCTGTGATGGGCATGAAAACCAAACTGGCTTGCATTAAGCAGGTCTCTGTCTTCAGTGTGCATTTGGACTATTTTCAGAATAACTTTTTTGAATAGCATGCCTGTCATAGACAAGGAGCTCATCAGGCATAAATTTTAAGGAAATTTTGGGTCCTTACAGGTTTGGATAATATTATAACTTTTGCTTCCTTCCAGGGCTTTGGAAAAGGGACAGCCGAAGGCAGTGATTAAATAAATGTGTCAGATGTACCAGCATTCTTGGAAGATGTTTAAGGCATTCATTTGGAATACCATCAAGTCCACAAACCTTCCTCAGATTTAATGAATTTGCTAATTTATGTATGTCACAAGGTCTTACTTTCCCCAAGAGAGTCCCATCTACAGATGCAAGCTAAGCTTGGACTGTAGTCCCCACCTCTCGTTCATGGTTTTTGTCACACAGGTCATGAGATGTGAACTAGTTTTCTAAACCATCCACAATCACGTTGGCTTTCTGATTCAGGTGACATGTTATTCCCAAAGGTCCATGAAGAGTGGTTTGTGCCTTTTGTCCATCTCATGTCAAAAGAAATTTCACAAGAGGCTGCAGAACTTGAGATGTGACCTTACAGTTCCCTACTTTTAATTCCTACCATTTCAGTGCCTTTCTACAGGTTATTCATGTGATGGTTTTCGTGACTCAGTTAACTGCCATTTTGCATGCTGGATCCTGGGTTACTTTCCACAGTTTCAGTTATGTTTTAGTAGGCTCATCAGACCAATTAGATGGTTATTAAGGTCCAAGAGTGTAATTTTTCTCAGTGATAGCCTATACATCAAAGCTATAGATGTAGTATAGCCAGCAGCCACTTTATAGGCTTCTTCTCCCAAGTTAATTTGGATTCTAGGTGAAATTATTTGGAGGCCAGGCTTTGAAACTACTCCCAGTCTGTGAATTTATCAACCAGGCCTGAAAGATTCCTAGTTCTAATATGATCCAGCAAATTGAAGATGATTGGTAAGTGATCTGAGTCCAAAATGTCAGAGACAATGTTTTTTGACAGTTGGACATTCTTGTGCAAAACAGTATCGAGCATGTCACCATTTGGCCGCACCATAGCTCAAGTGGTTAGTTGCTGGCTTCCCATCGCGGCAGCCTGGGTTCGATCCCGGGTCTGGTCAAGTGGGATTTGTGATGGACAAAATGGCCCTGAGGCGGGTTTTCTCCTGCCAATCTTCTTTCCACCAAATTCTCCATCATCATAATCACCTGTGTCAGGTACAATAGGCCAATCAGTGGCCACTGTGCCAAGTGGACCCAGCTGGACTCCACCCCCACTAAGCGAAAATGTCACCATTTCTCGCATGAAAGTTATGAGTGGGACATTGTGATGCTGAAATTTCAAACTAATTTATATACAGTAAATTCAGTAGTTTCACACCAGAAAGTTTGGGAACTACACTATACCAAAATGGATGTTTAGCATTCAGACCTACTACAAGCAGCAACTTATATCTAAAGCTTAAGAGATCAGTGATGTCTGCATCATTCTAGGCATGGCCTGGTGACTTATATACTGCTGCAAGTAGCACTTCACTATTACCAATCCATATGCAACCCCCTGTGGCTTCTATTGAAACAAGCAGAGGCAGGTCTACATGGTTATGAGGAGTGCCTTTTCTTAGTGCAGCAGCAGTTCCGCTTTTTCTTCCTGGGAAGCGGTGAGTCTAATAAAAGTGATAATTTGGAATAAGGAATCTCTCATGGGGTTTGAGATATATGTCTGAGAGCAGACCCACATCTATGTGTAAGTCTTGCAGCTATTCACTGAGCTCATAGCGCTGCCTCTAAGTGTCATTTGCAATAAATGCTATGACTTTGAACGGCCTATGAACTCTAACAGCCATTTGTTTCATTGAGTTGAGTACCATTTTTGTAATGACCATTATTTTGTCTTTTCTGATGCAGCCTCACTGAGCTCTATTATCCGCTGCACTACAGTGGCGACTTTTAACATGCCACAGTTAGACAAACTGGGAGCCTGTACTGAGAGACCTATTTTCTGAATTTCCTGTTGTGGCAGATGCTGTGGCATAGGGTGCCACACTCTTTTTCCCATCTGTCTGTGATGCCTGTGGTTGCTGGTGTTGCATGTCTTGATGCAGTGCAGCTGCGTAGGACTGCTCTGGTGAGGTGAACTTATAGAAGAACGTCCTCCCAGAGGATCCATTGGGAGCTAATTGTACTCTTCTCCTTTGCAGTTCTCCTTCCACATGGCTGCAACCTCGGTATGACACTGGATGAGGTTTCTCTCCTTCTACTAGGATGCAATTTCAACGGTTCGGCATAGATTCTATATTTGTCTTTTCAGAGAATTCCCTATGCATGTGGCCACCGCTGTACCACAAACATCAAGCAGGTTGCTTGCAGTTGTCCCAGACACTTGTAACACTGCATAAGACCAGTCTGAGCTCTGTATAACTCACCCTGATGCTACTATGCTTAAGACTCTCTCAACATAGACCCTACAGAGAGCTCCATTTCTAACAGTGTCTCTAACTGTTGTAGCTGCCATAGTTACGTGTTTATCCAGCTGCTACCATGCAGTAGACAATGATTAGGTAGTTATGTCAGTATATTTCTCCAATCAAGAAGGGTTCAACAAGAAACATCTACTAAATGCTGAGAGAATAAATAAAAAAATTCACTGTGAAAATTTTTTCAATCACAATTCAAAGATGATGCTTCCACCAGACATATGAGATGTGAATGAACACATACAAGTTTGGTGTGAGCCAGCAATGAAGTAATAATTTCTTGTCTTGTTTAGTATTTCAAGGACTGGTGAAAATTCATAATGATAGGCTTCCTAGTTTCTAGTCTTGAACATGACATCTAGTTTTATTAGATATCTAAGAAATGAATACAAAATTTGCATTGGAAAACTAAAGAGATCATGTCAGAGACATAAGTACAGATGGTGGAATAATATTAAAGTGTGTATATTTTATATGAATGATGCAAAGGTTCCACATAGTTCTTTTTTTCTAATTTTCTGTGGTTATCACTCGTTGATGCATAATCTATTAATAACTTACAATTGCAGACTTCTAGTTAATCATTATATAGTTCTCATCTGACTCTTGTATTTGCTCTATCTTTCCCAAGATTTTCCCAGGTAACTGTCCTTTTGGTTGGACTGTGGAGTTTCTTTTCAATTTAGTGTATACTTGTTCATCTGTTTGTGCTAATCCTGTTCTTGTGAATTCTATGCTCCCTAGTAGTTCTCAACACTTCTTTTGCTACTTCCTTTACATAGTAGGATTCATTGGTATTGACTTGAAATTTCTCAGTTATCTTTTAAGAGATAACTAGTTTATGTTGCTGTATGACATGCTGTGGTTTCTATAGGAGCTCAGGCAGAAAGAAGAGGAAGCCAAGATTTTGCTGGCAGTGATACAGGGTGATGCTTGCTGGAACCACCTGTGCAGGATATACCGTGAAGAAATTTACAGTGAAAGACACTCGTGCTTCATGTCTGGGAATCATAAATTGAAGTCTAATCTCAAGTACTTCTCTGGCATTAACATCTTCCCAACAGGCGACTTGGTGATTATCAAACATAAGAACTGATAACCATAGAATGTTCCTCATCAAGAGGATTCTCTTAAATATTCTCATTAAACTAATGTAATGCTATTTGCATATCGACATTCTGTGTAGTTGATGCTGGAATTAAATTATATAAATAATAAATATTATTCTAACTAGGAAATTGTTGGATATGGTGTGCCTCAAGGATCGGTGTTGGGACCCTTACTCTTTAATAAATACATAAACGACTTTTCCCTTAAAATAAGTAAAATTTCGGAAGTTATTATGTTTGCAGATGACACCAGTATTCTTTGCACAGCTAAAGACTACTATAAATTAAAAACAAAATTGGATGTTGTTTTTAATCACATGTTTACTTGGTTTCAAAATAATCAATTCGTTGTACTTTAGCATCCTGTTGCCCAACTCATACATGTAGAGATATATTTAAAAAGCTTGACATACTACCAATCCCATGTGTATATTTGCTCCCATTGATGACATTTGATGTTAATAATTTGGATAAGTTTCAGACCAGTAACTCTGTATATGTGATTGGGACCAGAAAGAATGACCACCTTCATATACCTTCAACACTTTTATCATCCTATTAGAGAGGGGTGTATTATTCAGGCATCAAACTATTTAATACTCTGCCGTGAAATATCACTTACTTACTTACTCATGGAGCTGAGCCCTTCTGGAGGAGCCACCAATTCTGCAGCTACTCAAGAATTTCCTAGCATTCTATGCAAACCAAAGGTTCACTACCGTGTTCACAAGAGCCCTCCACTGGTCCATCTCCTGAGCCAGATCAATCCAATCTGTATCAGCCCATCCTATTTCTCTAAGATCCATTTTAACATTGTCCACACGACTATGCCCTGGTCTTCCCAGTGGTCTCTTTCCTTCTGGCTTTTTACCACCAATATCCTATATGCTTTCCTCAACTCCCCCATTCGTGCTACATGCCCTGCCCACCTCATCCTCCTTGACTTGATCATTCTACTTATACTTGGAGAAGAGTACAAGTTATGAAGCTCCTCATTATGCAGTTTTCTCCAATCTGCTGTCACTTCATCTCTCTTCGGTCCAAATATTCTCCTCAACACCCTGTTCTCAAACACCCTCAGTCTATGTTCCTCCATTAATATCAGAGATCAAGTTTCACACCCATACAGAACCACAGGCAAAATTATAGTTTTGTATATTCTAATTTTTTAAGTTTTTGGACAGCAGACAAGAACACAAAAGGTTCTGGACTGAATGGTAGCAAGCATTATTCGAGTTCAATCTCCTCTTAATTTCCTCCTCCATCAGATTTTGTTCTGTTATCGTTGTTTCCAAATATCTGAACTGTGCCACATTCTCAAAACATCTGTTTCCCCTCTTTATGTCACGATTTTGCTCTGTATTTTGGTGATGAGACAGCAACATATACTTAGTTTTCTCTGTGTTTACTTCTAGACCAACCTCTTTACTTGCATCAATTAAAGTTTGTGTGCTTTTCTTTATGGTATCTACATTATCACCCAGTAGATTCACATCATCGGCATAGGCCAAAAGCTGATGTGTCTTGTCAATTTTCACAGCTTTAAAAAATGATAAAAAGCAATTTAGGTTTGCAAAGTAACGCATTTTACTCTATTGATGAATTTGCCAAGCATGCAAGTGGCTCAAAAGTTAAGAGTGAATAAATAGTCTGTGTGCGTGAATTATACATTGTTGAGAATTGCTTGTTGTAAGTGTAGTAGTATGCATGATGTCTGTTTTTGTTATGAATTTTAAATTTTAATAATGTACGATAAATGACATGAACTCTGTCCCAAGTGCAAACAATATATTATATGTCCTTGATCTTGCTCTCCTTTACACTACATGTTTCGGCCTCAAACGGCCATCATCAGGTGTATACACTCACGTTGCTGTTACACTGTACTTAGTTTAAAATTTAACATTTAAAAACACATTGTTCCTTTCGTTGTTATTATCAACGTCTCCTTCGTTGATATCTGTCTGGTTTATAGATTATTTTTGTTACACACATTAGCACTTATAAAATCTTTAGTTCTAATTTTAGAATCCTTTAAAATTTTCCTCTAAATTTTAAATTTAAAATTGTCAGGGTTACTTGCCCTACGTCTATAGTGCTGCAGCGTCTAGTTCTTGTTTCCAGCACTGTACAGGTGTTATTTTGTGTAGTCTCCCTGTGTGTGTGTGTGTCGCTGCTATTCTTTACTACGTGTAAAAATAAAGAATAGCAGCAGCACGCACACAGGGAGACTACACAAAATAACATATGTACAGTGCTGGAAACAAGGACTAGAAGCTGCAGCACTATAGACATAGGGCAAGTAACCCTGGCAATTTTAAATTTTAAAATTTTAAAATTTAGAGAAAAAAATTTGAAACAACTTAAGTGCTAACGTGTGTAACAAAAATAATCTATAAACCAGACAGATATCAACGAAGTAGATTTTGATAATAACAACGAAAGGAACAGTATGTTTTTAAATGTTAAATTTTAAACTAAGTGCAGTGTAACAGCAACGTGAGTGTATACACCTGATGATGGCCGTTTGAGGCCGAAACATGTAGTGTAAAGGAGANTTAAATTTTAATAATGTACGATAAATGACATGAACTCTGTCCCAAGTGCAAACAATATATTATATGTCCTTGATCTTGCTCTCCTTTACACTACATGTTTCGGCCTCAAACGGCCATCATCAGGTGTATACACTCACGTTGCTGTTACACTGTACTTAGTTTAAAATTTAACATTTAAAAACACATTGTTCCTTTCGTTGTTATTATCAACGTCTCCTTCGTTGATATCTGTCTGGTTTATAGATTATTTTTGTTACACACATTAGCACTTATAAAATCTTTAGTTCTAATTTTAGAATCCTTTAAAATTTTCCTCTAAATTTTAAATTTAAAATTGTCAGGGTTACTTGCCCTACGTCTATAGCGCTGCAGCGTCTAGTTCTTGTTTCCAGCACTGTACAGGTGTTATTTTGTGTAGTCTCCCTGTGTGTGTGTGTGTCGCTGCTATTCTTTACTACGTGTAAAAATAAAGAATAGCAGCAGCACGCACACAGGGAGACTACACAAAATAACATATGTACAGTGCTGGAAACAAGGACTAGAAGCTGCAGCACTATAGACATAGGGCAAGTAACCCTGGCAATTTTAAATTTTAAAATTTTAAAATTTAGAGAAAAAAATTTGAAACAACTTAAGTGCTAACGTGTGTAACAAAAATAATCTATAAACCAGACAGATATCAACGAAGTAGATTTTGATAATAACAACGAAAGGAACAGTATGTTTTTAAATGTTAAATTTTAAACTAAGTGCAGTGTAACAGCAACGTGAGTGTATACACCT